GGGTGACTGTTTATTTGTTCCGGATTTCAAGAGGAGTTCAATCGTTATTAGTTGTTTGGTTAAAACATGATTTAACAATGCAATTGATTCCTCAGTTTCATTTTGAAGTTCATCTTCGTCTTGTTTGTTCTGGTACAATGTCTAAATAGTCTTTATTACTTATGTCTAATACCCCATTAAATTTATTATGTTGAATTAAAAGGATGATGAACAAGAACATTCACCAAAGAAATAAAAGTTTCAAATGAAACATATCTTTGACCTTTTGTGATTAAGTCAGATTGCCTCAAGTAGGAAACATGATTTAGTTAAAAGAGGGACTGAAAGTTCAATAGTTTTTTTAGCTAAAAGCTACACGTTGGTCCTATTTGGAAGGTAAAATGGCCAAGCAATCCTATAAGTTCAAAAGGATTTGCGTAACTATTCAACTGGAATTGGTACATACTACTGTATGTGGACCAATTGGCGTTCAAGCCAGAAGAGGTGACGAATACTTCATTATATGAATGGTTACTTTAGATTTGGACAAATGAACCTAGTGCGCAATAAGTTTATAGCTTATGAAAAATTCCAAGAGGTTTAATTCTGAGGCAGAAAAACATCTAGGTGTTCAAATCAAAACACTTTGGTGTGACTGAAGTGTTGGATACCTGTCTGATAAGTTCGTGTCTTACCGGATTTAAGAGGGGATAATTTTTCACATCTGTCAACTCTAAGAACGCGTTAGTTGAATGAAGTTGCAGTAATCAAACATTTCTAGGCTTAGCGAAGACCATGTTCAGCTATTCATCTTTGCTAATGTTGTTCCAGGAAGATGCCTAGGAGAAGGCAATGTACCTTCTTAACTTAATTCCATCCAAGTTTATTGTAAAGACACATAAAGAATTATGAAAATGGTGCAAGCCCAGATCAAATCATATTCGAATTTAGGGTGCTTCAACACACTGCTACAACAACGGTCAAATAAGATAAAATCTTGTACGGAAGTTTGCATATCTTTTTGCTACCCTAAGAGAACCAGGGATGATATCTTATTTAGTCCTAAGGACAAGATTATCTAAGTTAGAACTCACATGAATTTCTTAAAGGATGATTAGATGAGAAATTATAAGCTCTTAAGTAAGGTTATTTTTGATAACTTTTCTCATATTAAGAATTTTCAGAATCTCTAGAAGCTTCATCCATTGTTTCCTTGATTGTTCAAAGAGGGAAAATATATATATCTCTAGGTGTACAAATACGAGAACCGTAATTGAAAATTTAACATGATAATATATCAGTGAAACTAGTAGAAATATAAGTATCACGTGTGGAAGAACAAAATCAAGGAGTTGTTAAACACATAATATGTGGATCCTCAAGAAATTGAAGATCCACCATTTGATCCGATCTTGGATCTACCTGTAGATACACAAGGTCTAGTGCGATATATTCGTAGTGGGAGATACTTTGTTAACTCTTAAGTTGTCTTTTGTTGAGTGACATTGATCCCACTAGTTACGATAATGCACTAGAAGATGTTGTTGATCAAGTTTGCTCAAGCTAAGAAACATGAGATGTAATACTTTTATTTCAACTCTGTTCGGTCCCTAGTAAAGGCACCAAGAGGGGTAAAACCCACTAGGTGCATATTGACATAAAAGGCAAAGAGAGGATGGACAGGAAGAAGAAAATCTTCAAAGATAGCTTGTAGGCAATTTTTGCCAGACGCTATGCTAGAGTCTATCCAGATTCTCTTAGCTGCTACTAAAAAATCTCAATTATAAGATTTTATTTTGGGAGTTGGACGTCAGGATATCTGCATACAACAAGCAAAAGAGTTTATAGCAAATGAGCAAGAACACATGGTATGCAAATTGTGAAAGTTTATTTCATGGACTTAAGCAAGCATCCAGATCATGGAATATCATTTTTGATCAAGTTAACAAAATTTTGATTTTGAGAGAAACTTGATGAATGATGTGTATTTGTATGTAAAGGATCCAAAAGGGATGTAGTAGCGTTTCTGGTACTTTATGTAGATGATATGCTCCTTATCAAAAATAACGTGGAGGTAATATCAAGCATAAAGAGTTGACTGAGTAAGCATTTTGATATGAAAGTCCTAGGGAAGTCAATTATATTCTTCGTATAAAACTCTTATGAGATCAGAAGAATGAGTTATTAACATCACCTTGGACTACTTACATTTACAAAACTCTTCACAAAATCCAACATGGAGAATTATAAAAAGGAAATTATATCTCTCAGATGTGGAATTCATCTTCCTAAGGAGTAACTTCTAAAGAAACTTAAGAAGAAAGAATGCATAAGTAGAATACCTAATGACAATAGGTAGTCTCATGCATATCATGTTGAGTGTTAAACCAGACATCTGCCATGCAGTGGGAGTAGTGAGACGGTACCATTCTGGACCTAAAGGAACACTAGATTATTGTTAAGCATGTACTCAAGTATCTTCGGAGAACGAGAGAATATATACTGGTATACTCTAGTGGGAGTCTTGAAAAGCTGAGCTTTCACATAATCAGTTTTTTATATGGATATTGACTCAAGAAATCAACCTTGAGCTATAAGTTTTTCACCAAACTTAGATAGCATTAGAGGTGGATCTTGCAGACCCAGTTGCTAAGAGTTTGCCTGAACTTGTGTTCAAGAGGCATATTATTTCTTTGGGTCTTAGGAGGATCCTAGACTTGCATTAAATGAGTGGGAGATATTGGGTTCATTGTGCTCTTTGAGTAAGACAATGAAACAATATAATCATTTTCTGAATTTTATAAACATTCATTTATAGTGCACAAAATTTTCAAACATTAAGGTTCAGATCAATTGTGGAGTATACGATCATTTGGATATGTTCACAGAGGACATGATCATAGATTCTCACGATTGATGAATTAGTTCAAAACTGTTAAATAAAGTTGGGCGCTTTATTTAGGCTACAATATTTTATGAAATAGTTTTGTCCAAATCATTGTAAAATATTGGTGTGAATTAATATTCACATTGAAAGGATCAAGGAGAGATTTGATTAAGGTTGTTTTTTTCTGTCATAAGGTATCAAATCTCCAGATAACTGTAGTTATGTGATTGCTCTAAATCCTGAGTTTATTATAAATAGGTAATCAAATAGCTTTCATTCTTCGATTTACCAACGGGTGAGGTTTGATCTATTGACGACCAATAACTCGGTACTTTGGGAGTGAGATTATTTAATTATAGGTATTTATGAGACAAACAATATGGAATTTGTAGGATATGTCCTCTTGATATGTTTCGGTAGTTGGATATTGAAGACATTGACCAATGCATGTAATCTATTAGAGAAACTGTCATAGTCAAGGGAATAAATAATTGATTGAGTTATAGAAAACTTATCAATCAATTATAGACATTCTACAAAGGGGCGATGCATATTCGTGTTATAAGTGTTATTAATCTTGGAGTTCAAGTTCGGGCTTTTAGTGGAGTAGCACCGAATTAAATAATTATTTGTTGATTATCAAGAGCCTTGATTAATAACAGATGGTAGATCCCCAGGCTAGCTCGAGATAAGGGATGAGGCAATTTCTGTTGATGACGACTAGTGGGAGATTGTGGGTGTTGCTCTTTCACTAAAGCCGAATAGGGCCTAATGTATAAGAAGAGTCCAAGAAACCTAAAGCCTATTCTGCTTAGGGTTAGAGTTTCTTGGAACTCATATATATTCTGCACTTATACTCATCAGCCTCTCTGGTCTTCACTTGGTAGTTACAGTGGCTGAGGTAAGGTCATCTCTCTGAAAGTGAGAAAGTTTCTCACTTCCTATTTTTCCCTTAAGACATAGTTTGGAAGATCTGCCACTATCCAGCTTCAAGGAAGTTGTTCGTGATGTGACGCTGAAGTGAGCAGTTCATGAAGAAGAATCATACATGGGAAGATTCTCCATGAGATTTGCGCACAAGAGAGTTAATTGTGAAACGAGGATGATTCGGTAAGCATACCAATGTACTAGGTCGCAAATGGCTTCCGCATAAATCCAATAGTTCTACACATTTATCACCTCTTGTTGGAACATATTTTCTATACTACGGTCGCATCAACTAATGGATGCAACATTGGTATTTATACTATGTATTACCCGCAGTATATAATATAAATACAAAAGTGACTTTTTTTTCTCTTTTTAGTAGAAAAGCAAGTGATATGACGTGCTTTTATTGGTGTGTTGTACATACATTGGTAGTAGGCTGGATTTTTTCCTCTTGTTGGTACAACAGTAATGTATTCGATCCCAAATATTTTGCACGTGGTCTTTTTTCATTAGAGGCTCTTCTTACATTGTTCGTGTTCAAGGACAAAAATACGTGCCATTTTATATCTCTTACAATTTTTTCTTATCATAATTATTTCAACGTGCATAGGACGTGCATGAGTCTAGTTTTATATAATTAAAGAGTAGTTGTTAGATGGAATAAAATGATAAGAATTATTCACTTATTTGAGAATAAAAAACATATGATTAATTTCAGCGTTACTAAACCCGAACCGAACATCAGGTATTGGGTCACTAGTGGGCCTGATTGACCTGAATATATATATATATATATATATATATATATATATATATATATATATATATATATATATATATATATGGTATGGCTAAGGGTGACAACACCCAGCCAAAAGAAAGAAAAAAAGAAAAAAGAAAATCAAGTTACAAAACTATGAAGGTAGCTCACAGAGGTCTTATCAGCCAAAGCTAAATTATAAAGATCAGGGGGCGGAGACTAAAGATAGCTAAATGTATTTACTGAATGATGATCCAAGGGGAAGTTTGCCAGCCAGTCCGCACATTGATTTACTTCTCTATAAGCATGTTGCAAACGAACAAACTAGTTCTTTGATAACCATGCTCGTATCCGAGTCACTAGATAGGAATCATGAGCAGCTTCACCATGTTTGGTGAGCATCGCAATAACATCACTGGAATCACTTTCTATTATCGCATTACGTCAACCCCTTGTCCAAGCCGTTTCCAGACCTTTTAATATGCCCCAATATTCAGCAACTAAGGCAGAACAATAACCAATATTATAGGTGAAACCACCTAACCAGCTACCAGCAGAATCTCGAAAAATACCTCCACATACAGCCATACCCAAATTGCCTATTGATGCTTCATCCGAATTAATTTTGATCCAATCCACTTCAGGTAGAGTCCACGAAACAAAATACTGAGAACTACCTCCAATATGTGTCTTTAATTTATTCTGCCTATAAGCCTCAATAACATGAATAGCCATACGTCTAACAAAAGATCCCTTAAAGAAATCATTATTAGATTGTTGACCGTGCTCCAGAGCATTTCTCCACTGCCAAAGCTGCAACAAGCTACGAAAAATATAGTGATCCAAGGAATATCATTAACTAAAACATCCGCTGCCACTAAGTTTTTTGAAGCCAATTACTTAAATCTCCTTGAAAAAATTCAAACGCCTTATAAGAGGGAACAAGATCCAACCACAAGCTTTTTGCTTGATCACAATCTCTGATAGCATAAAGTATAGTCTCGTTTTCTTGAAGACAAATAGGACACAAAGGATTGATTGTACCCCAACTAGCCAACAACACTTTAGTTGGAAGTCTATGATGCAATACCTTCCACATAAACAATTTAATCCGCTGGTGACCTTGCCACTTCCACAATTTTAGCCAATCAATCACAACCGGCTGGGCTATAAAACTATCTGCATATCTCAAATGAGCATAAAGAACCCTTATAGTTATTCTTTGAGCACCCTGAAAATACCTTCTCTTTGAATCTCTACCATCTTGAGGGTGAGGAGGGAGAAAACTTTGGATTTGTTGCACCACCACACAAGGGAGCAAAGAATTCAAATACTGCACATCCCAATATCCATCATTATTGACATAATCTATAACTCTTTTATCAAGATCCTCCGCTAGGATTATGGATATAGCTTATCAATTAGTTTGCAATCCCCAGTTAACCATATATCCTGCTAGAATCTAATTAGCTCACAATTACCAATTTCCCAAATGCTATGATTTTCAAGAGAATACCACAACCTACACATATTAGACCAAAGTCGGGAATATTTTCCTCATTGTTTCTGCTAGTGCCACAATATTTTCCTCTAATAACTTGGACTCATAAAGCCCCTTCATCAAATAACACCTTTGAAGCTAGCTTTGCAAGAAAAGCATCATTCATCAACGAAAGCTTTTTAATACCCAAACCACCACAATTCTTTGGCTTCAAAATATCATCCCATCCAATTAAATGTAGACGATGCTGACCAGGCTTATCCTCCATATAAAGTCTCTTTGAATCTTCTCAATCTGATCATAAATGGCTAATGGGATTTTATTATTCTGCATGTGAAAAATTGGAATAGAAGATATTATCGACTGAGAGAGCATAATACGCCCTGCTTGGGATAGACACATTCCGTTCCACCCATTTAGCCTCTCCATAATCCTCTCTACTACCCCAGCATAAGCTTGCTTTGTGACTCTTCTGTGATGAATCCAAGAACCTAGATATCGACCCACACTTCTTACCCTTTTGAAACCACTGAATCAGCTATTGTACTAGCAACATTCTCAGGAGTATTCTTAGAAAAATAAATTAAATTTTTTAGAACACTAACCTTCTGCCCCGAGATATCTGCAAATAATTGAAGACAAGGAAGAATAATTTGAAACTGATTAAGGTTTTCCTCTGCAAAGAGCATGAGATCATCTGCGAAAATCAAGTGAGAGATATCTGGACAAGATTCACTAAATAAGTTCAAAAAGTACTCAATCACACTTTTACAAGTTCATAAAGTACTAATAAATGAAAATGCACGGTATTACTATTCAATTTAAATTGCAATTCAGAATCCCCGTAAGCATACCTACCTCTCAACAACATTCAAAAAGTCAGATGTTGTAAACTCATATTTTTCAAATTCATCTACATTGAAATGAGATATGTCACATTTTCTTAATTTCTTGTTCTGCAAATTGCTTTAGTATTGGAAGCTGAAATTTGATGTTTTTTTAGAAGAATATACTACTAGCAAATAAAATTACAAAAAAATTTAAAATGAGTTCTACATTTTTTTTGACAAGATGAAATATTTTTGGTTTTTTTATTTATTTATGAAAATGCATGATCTGATCAGGTTACCGGGTCATCAGTTTTTCACCGGATCCAATGCATAGCCGGTCCGATACTTGACTCAAATCGGTCCGATGACTGGTTCGCGAGGTTTCGGGTTGACCTAGCCGGATCTAGCCGAGTTTCATAATACTGGTTAATTCTAACGATTCTTTTTGAAAATGTTGAGATGTCAAAAGTATATGAAATTAAATTAAAAATGACTAAAGTTTCAACCTTTGAGCTTAATATTTTAATTAATTGAAAGATTTTTTTTAATATTAAATTCTCATTAGTTCACGTGACTCGACATAAAAATTTGCCTTGTGTTAGCTCCGTGGAGAAACTAATAGACAAAGTCCAACAAACTGCAATTTCAAAAAGATTTTTGAAGTCTATTATATATAAGAACAAAAGAAGAAACATTTCTCCTGTAGTACATTAGATAAAAAGGTAGAGAGAAAGCTTGTTTAGTTTGAAAATTTTCTCCTCTTATATATATATACTCTTTTTCATAATCTTGTTAACTATACAACTTTTTCAAAATACCTTACATCATTACAAATTAAAGATCACTGCTGAAAAAAGAAAATAAAAATAACATAAAAAAAATTAAAGATTAGTTTTGAAAAAGTAAAAATAAGATTCAAAAAATTGAAAATTTATTTCTAGCTTTGATTTTTCTTGGATCCTCTTATTTGAAAAGGCAACTTAGATATTGACTTAGGTGGTGATACCAACACGAGAAAGTTGATGTCTGGTTACATGATTATTTTTGTAGAAAGAGCTAAATCCTGATAATCTAAACTTCATAAGTATGTTGCTCTATCCACCACTTGAGTCGAGTACATTGCAACAATTGAAGCTAGCAAGAGAATGATATGGTCGAAGAATGTTCTATATGAACTCAGTCACAAATAAAAAAATGTATATGTTAAAGTGTGATAACTAGAGTGTCATACACTTAGCAAAGAATTCTACCTATCATTCTCCCTCAAAACATATTGAAGTTCGTTATTACTGGATCCAAGATGTGATAGAAGGACATCAACTGCAATTAGACAAAGTGCACACTGATTTGAACTAGTCCGACATGATGACCAATGTTGTTCCGAGAAGGAAGTTCAAAGACTATTGCAAAAGTGCCAACATGATAACCTTGTCTAATTAAGTTGAAAAGCAGAAAATTATTGGAGGTATTTTTCCTCATTAATTAAAGGGTGGCTAAGCATAACTCAAGGTGCACATGGCTCAAGATAACTTTGGTCAAAAGTTCTAAATCTAGTTTATTCCCTAATTATCTATGCTTACAAAAATTGTCCTGAAGTTCATCTATAAATACAGAATTAAGAGAAGTGTTGAAGTATTAAGCAAGTATTTGAGAAAGGTCCTCCTAGATAGAGAAATAAAGTTCCACCACAAAGGTGAGAGAAAAATTCTCTAAATGAGAGATAAAATTATTGTAAGTTGTTCCGTGTTCGTAACATGGGTTTAGTCAAGAATAGCTGAGGCCCATAATTAGAAGAGGTCACAAAACTAAGGCACATGCCCGGATAAGGTCAACCGGCTTGGCACTAATATGTATACACGAAATCCATAGTAGGAGCCTCGAATATGGCCCTAGCCCACGCTTAAGTGGCACATGTAGACCCTACCGTGATCTTACTAATGGCACCACTATTAACTACCCACTACGATTATAACCGTTAATAAGACCATATATAAGGATACTATACAGGTGAATAAGAGATAGATTACTCATAAGATTAACCCTCTAATGTTCATATAGAACATTTGGCATCGTCTGTGGGGATTGTAAAACTATTCTCACTTCACTAATGGCTAGTAACAAGCGTCAGGAGTATAGAATGGGAAACAGTCATCTTCTGGGGAGGAAGAAGAAAATTCTTTCCAATCCAAAGGGAGGATCCGTTCTCTAAAAACCAATGGACAAGCTTTGATTCAGTTAGCAGAAGATATTAGAAATAGACCCTACAATGAAAGAAAAAGGAGACACCATTCGAAGGAGAGACCACAACAGGAAAATGAGCAGCAGTAGGGGAATCACAGAAAGGTTCACGATCCCCTGCTCCCAGTCATATGTTGTTGTCTCATCCTAAGGGACAACGAGAAATTTGTCAAGAGGATCATCGTCTTCAACCTTTGAGGGAGTCAAGGAGTCCCCCAGAAAAAATAGATAACAGAAGTAGAGGACGAGAAGTAAATCAAGAGCGAGTACATGCAGAGTATACTTGGGAGGCTGATAGGAATGTGCACTATCGGGTAGGGGTGGCAATTTATGACACGACCCGTCAACCCGACCCGGACCCGACACGAAATTTTCGTGTTCGGGTCAACCCATTTAATAAATGGGTCGTGTTTGGGTTGAAGAAAAATAACACGAAAAAATTCGTGTCGGGTTACAGGTCAACCCGTGAACCCGCTGACCCGCAAATTTATAAGTTATTATGGTCATTTTATCTCAAGGTATAAAACATAAATGTTAGGGTTCTCTCTTTTCTCTTTTCACTCTCCGCGGTGTAACACACAACTTCTTTTCTCTCTCACTTCGCCTCCCCCCCAAAAAAAAAACACTCTCCGCTACTGTTCTCTTTCTCTGCTGCCGATCTCTCCACCTCAACCACATCTCTCTCTGCTGCCGATCTTTGTCTGCAAATCGTCTTCCACCTCAACCACCGCTACTGATCTTTCGATCTCTGTCTGCAGACCGTCTTCCACCTCAACCACAGGTACGAATAAATCTCTTTGCTTCATTTTTCTTCCATCTAGAAACAAAACCCACCGTGTGTAATACGACACCCACAACATATATAAATATATAATATAGACACAAAGTCGCTGATTTTATATATATGCTTTATTGAATACGACACCCACCATGTGCACATATAATATAGACACAAAGCCACATTTTGTTACCCAGGTTCCACCGGTTTCATTTTTTAATTTTTTTTTAAAAAATAAAAATAAAATAACATATCACACAGTATAGGTAGTAACCACCAAGTATGGAGAGCAAGATAATAATTTCATTTTTTTTATATTATGTATGTCACTACTAATTAATTTTTTTTTAAAAAAAAATTAAATTTGAAACTGATTTTGATTATAATATGTATGTCACTGCCATTTCATTTTTTTTGTAGAGCATTCAGCAGTAGCTTTGGAGGAGTTGACAGAAGATATCATGGAATAAAAGAGTCAACATTCAATAGCTGATCATGATCCTCAAAATAGTTACTCAGTTGGTCAATGACTTTAATATTTCAATTAGTTCCATGATTGTGGATTTGTGATCTTAATGTGTATTTTGGTAGAAGAAGTTGCTGTAAGAATGAGAATGTTGCATTTAATTATGATTTCATATTGGATTGATGAAGTTAAATGTAATTTATTTTGATTTGAATTAGATCAAACAGATTTAATATGATTTGAATTAATATCATTTTGTGTTTACTCGGGTCGTGTTGGGTCATGTTGGGTCGGGTCGTGTCGTGTAAAAATAGGTTGTGCTTAAATTCGGGTTGTATCGTGTCAACCCGTTTAATTAGCAGTTCGTGTTCGGGTTAAGTTTTATAACACGAATTGTTAATCGTGTCGTGTTCGGGTTGAGCTTATTCATGTTCGTGTCAGACCCAGGTTGACCCGAACCCGACCCATGAACACGAATTGCCACCCCTACTATCAGGAGAGAAGGGAACACATGCATTAGGAGGAAGGCAAACAGGAATTTTATGAGTAGCATGATGTTCGTGAAGAAAATCAACAGCGGTTCAGCCGTATATATTATGCTCGCCAAGAGGAAGGCCGTCGTGATCAAAGGCGGCAATACAAATATCAAAAGCAGAGGCCAAAACCAGGCGAGTTCCATTATGATTGCCGAGAAGAGTATCCACTGGAAAAACTCGGCTATTATCATGCCCGGGATAGAGTAAATCAAGGAGGTATGGGAGGTCATTATCAGCCGGGAAACCAGCGAAACAACCAGAGATATTATTATTCTTAGCAAGCTCACCAGGAGGGTTATAAGGCCCAACCTTATGGAGAACAGATGATGAACCGGGGACCAGGAGGACCATATGGGAATATACAAGCATGGGTGGCACCATATCAGCTACCTTTTCAACAGAGGGCCCAAGCAATGCCGG